TGTTTTGGTCAGGGGACAGAGGCAGGTAGCATTTCATGTAGGAAAAAACTTCACACAAAAAGAGATATAGTACACCCAAGAACAGACACTCTAGCCTATGAGTGACTTGTAGGCATGCTGCCTTAAATTCCATTAGGAAAACATCTAAGTACAACCAATATAAGATATGTTTTGGAAGTCTAACATGCAAAGAAAAGAAAATCCTAAAAGGCAGCCATAAAGCTGATGCAAGCAATCACAACAGCAGTTCATCAGAGCATTATCTACAAGGCGCCTACGCTAAACTTTAAAAAATTTATATACATGATGTAAAGTAACTAGCCTCCAACTAATAAAAATAAATGGAAAAAAAAAAAGAAAAAAGAAAAAAAAAAAGAAAAGATTTATATACAGCCACTCTAGTGATCACTATCTCCATCTTACAGGTGAAGAAACCAGAGGCAGAGAAGGTAAGAATGTGGCCCCAAAGTCACATAGCTTATAGAAGGTGGGACCAGATCTGATTCAAGACAATGCTTTTCTTGACTATGCTAATTTATTGCTCCATCTCCATGTTTCACAAGCCTCCTAGCCTGCTTGGAAGGTACCTCCCTGAAGCTGAGTGATACTGTCCCTTAAGCCATACTATGGAGAAGGAAGGGGCAACTCATTCCAGTATTCTTGCCTGGAGAATCCCATGGACAGGGGAACCTGGCAGGCTACAGTCCATGGGGGTCTTAAGAGTCAGACATGACTGACTGACTAAAACACCACCAAGCCATACTATCTCCCATTTCTAATGTATTCATCTGGCATCTTCTGGTATTTCACTGTTTTTCCAAGCTGGTTCTCTACCTGAAAGAAGAGCAACTGACCAGTCAAAAGGAACAAAGTGGATATACTTGGCAGTGATCTGCAGTGATTTTCCTAGAGTAAATCACAGCACCAGGCATTCTGGTTTTGAACATTAATTTGACCATAACTTTGGTTCATTTGACTGATAATGAAGGCACCAATATCCTTTTCTGAGGATCATCATAACATAGGAAAAAGCACCAAGGCAGGTATCAATCCCCTATAAATCCATAACTGCTAACTCAACTCTATACCTACAGTGTAATCACACTCACACACACACACACAAACACACCAAAGAAAACACACAAGCTTAGGTTAAGTGTTAGAAAAAAATATGGCTAATAAAACTACTACATATATAGCTGGAAACACTCTCAGTAGTCTCCTTCCTTCTAAAGAAGGAAAAATAAAACTACATTATGCAAACTTACAGTGTTTTTGGTGTAAGGGTAAAGAGGAGGAAAAGAGAGAATTGTTAAAAACCTAAGAAAAAAAATACATGAACAGCTTAAAAGGCAGGGACACATTGTTTCAAAACTAAGTATATCTTGGAAATACCAGACAAGTGGCAGAACTTACCTATGGATCAGAATCTTCCCATCTCTGCTTCTGTAGTTCTTTGATAGTTGAGGACTATTATTTTGGGGACCAGCCAAAATTTAGATGTGTCTCTTAAGTTTCCTCCCCAGTGGTTGGTCGGCTAATTCTTACTAGATTCATTGTCTGTTTATTTGTTTTAATATTTGTTTATTTATTTTCTTGGCTGCACTGGGTCTTGGTTGTGGCACACAGGCTCTCTAGTTATGTCACACGGGCATGGACTCAGTTACCCTGCATCATGTGGGATCTTGGTTCCCTGACCAGGGTTCGAACCTGCATCCCCTGCATTATAAGGTGCATTCTTAACCAGCACACCACCAGGGAAGTCCCGATTCATGGCCTTGAATAGGGAAAATCAGGAGACTCTCTGGCATTCCACAAATATTGCCAGTCTTTCCACACTCTAAATGTCTACCGGTTTACTGTTTTCTATAGCTACCCTCTTCTCCCAAGCTCCATTTTCTGGCTTCTAGACGACATTGGCAGTGGTGATTCTGAGAGGAAGGTACAGCTGGAAGACATGCACTAGGAATACCCCAAAATGGGAAGGTGGCCTATTCAAAGCTGGGGAGTGGAAATGAGATATGAAAATGCTCACCAGGACACCTCTCTCTGTTGCCGCAAGTCAGGAAACGTGACAACATGGTACCTTCAGGAGAGTGTTGGGTTTGAGCAAGATCAAGAAAGTAAAAGAATGGGAGATTTTTGAAGATATAGCACACGGCAGTGTTACAAACAGAGCTGGGAAGCATCAATTTTGCATAGCAAAAAGGGGTAATAAAAAAAAAAACTACAACTGACTCACATTTCCTCTTTTAAAATATTTAACCATTGACTAAACTCTCTTTAATTTTCTCAGCCAGTCCCTTCTGGCCTGAAAATATAGTTCAACTTCAACCCAGCATCTTTGAATAATCACAAATTCTGAATTAATAAAGATTTACTGATCTGTGACCTCTTCTCAATGTGATTTGTGACCTCATCTACATGAAGGTTGAGGGAAAATAAGTACAGACCAGTCACAGGACAGTAACTGCCAGGCTGACAAATTGTAGGCATAAAAGGGAAAACAAAAAATACACACGTTGTGTTTGTGCATGTTATATACAAGTTACCAGGTGGGCTGGGTCCAACTATACAAGGGGAAGAAAAGGTTTATCACAGCAAATATGTCAAAACCTGTAGACCTCATAAGTATCTACCAAGGAGAATATTTTGTTTATTCTTATCATTTCAAATTGAAGTCAACTTTGAAAGCAAACTGACAGTAAGTAATGCAAATGTCAAACCCTGGTTGTTTTTATGGTTTACTATCAGGAGCCTACAGGGCAGTACCTATAGTCATTTGAAGATGGATGTGCCCTGGTATCTGCCATAATGTTGTAAATATGCATAACTCATCAACATTTGATACAGATATTGACAAAATGACCCTTTTGGTACTTTAAAAAATATTACAGCATCACAGAATCTTCATTCTGAAAGCAATCATTAAGATGACCTAATTCAGTCTCTTTCTCTTAGAGATGAGGAAATTTCAAGGCTAAACGGGGGATTTAAACAACATGTACAAAGTGGAAAGAACAGAAACGAAATCTCTTGTTTAAAAGCAGAGATTAAAGAGAATCAAATCAAAGAGAATCAAAACCTTTTAAAAAGAAAAGTGTCCTTTAGCTTCATTTTTTACACAGAAAATCATAAATTACATCCTCTCCCTCTTGCAGAAGAAGACTTATACCATGGCAAATTAGGTCTTTTCTAAAATACACACGTATTCCTTCAAGCAGATACACTATCATGTTGCTCCTTCCCTGGACATTCAATTCTAAATCCCATCATCTAACTGAAGTGTTCTCACAAAGGTTCACAAAATTCCCGTAGTTCAGCAAGCTAAGCATGAATTTATTAATCCTCACCCTAAAATACCTACTTCTAGGAAAAAAGTTAGAGGTAGCAGAACCTAACTATAAAGTGACCTTTCTTCTAGAAATTAAAAAATAAAGGTGGATAGTCTGAAATTTTCATTGTTTTCAAGACCCCCCAAAAGAGGAGGTAGTAGCTATTTAGAACAAACGCATGGACCAAATTAGGACCCGCCTTATCAAATAATGCCAGTGGTTCTCAGCAGAGTTCCTTGGAAGGCAGGCTATATGTCAGAACCAAGAGAAATATGGAATATATATTTTAGAAATAACCTAAATATGCTGTAGGGGACACCAATGGCATTTCATCATCCTCACTCAAGCAAGAAGAAAAGAGGTAATGTTGTAGACAACAGTAGATTGACCCAGTATGTCTTCCATGTGTACTGAGAGTCAGCTTGCATGTCAGGGAGGAAGAGAGGGGACAACCTGATATCACTCATTTGATGGAAAAGAAAACTTATATCCTGAGGGATTCAATGGCTTGTATTGTCCTTTAGACAAGGGACAGTTTCCATTTAGGAACTGTTCTTCTGCAAAGCTATTAGGTCCATAGACACTAGGAAGGAGAGTTGATGCCAGCCAAGCATTTCTTGCAGTTTTAATACGACTTTCTGGCTAATGAGGCTTTGATGTTCCAGAGCTCAATCCAAAACTATACTGACAAAACTATCACTAAGCAGCAAAGCTACTGCCACATTCCTACGCAAATTCCACTAATGGGGGACTCCTGATGTCCAGTTTGAATTCGGCACCTGCGGGCTATCTACCACAATGAGAAGATTCTGAGTTACGATAAGTTGATCTATTTATTCATACTCTCTAGCCCAGTCCCTCTCTCCTTTCATCTCCCGCCTTCATCCTGCCCTCCTTCCTTCCCCCAGTGCAACAGTATGCAGCAGAGGTCAGCAAAGTTCTCTGTAAAGGGCCAGACAATAAACAGTTTAGGGTTTTTTGGTTCTGCCATTGTCGAACAATAGTGAGTGAAAGTCACTCAGTCATCTCTGACTCTTTGCGACCCCATGGACTGTAGTCCGCCAGGCTCCTTTGTCCATGGGGATTCTCTAGGCAAGGATACTGGAGTGGGTTGCCATGCCCTTCTCCAGGGGATCTTCCCGACCCAGGGATCGAGCCCGGGTCTTCTGTGTTGCAGGTGGATTCTTTACCATCTGAGCCACCAGGGAAGCCCTGAACAATAGTAGCCATAGACAATCCATAAATGAATGGGTGTGGCTGTTTCAACAAAACCATTTACAAAAACAGGCAGGGGGCCAGATATGGCTCCCAGGATGGTAATTTTTCAGTCCCTTGTATACAGTAGCAGTTCTCAGACTTTAGCCTTCATCAGAACCACCTACAGAACTTAGTAATACACAGATTTCTGGGCCTCATCCTTAAAGTTTCTGATTTTGAAGATCTGTAGTGGGGACTGAGATTTTGCATATTTACTAAGTTGCCAAATGATGCTGATGCTGATGGTCCACGGATCACACTTTGAGAACACACTCTGAAAGCCACTGGTATAAAATAATGGTCTTTACTGCAGTCAGTGGCAGGCTGAAATGTAATGAACAACTGAGAAAGTGGAAATTACATGCTGTCGATTGCTAATTTTACAGAATATTTCATATGGAGACTTACTGTTAAGTGCCATAATATTATCTGTTCCCGGATGATGGAAATTTATCCCCATGCGTCCTAAAAAATAAAACAATTTTGTTTTAAGCACAAAGAAAAGAATGCTTAAATATAATCACAATTATATTGCACAATATGAACATTATAAAAAACGAAAACAGATTAAGCTAAAAACAATGTTATTAAAGCCCGCAGCAGCTACAACAGTTTTAAATCAAGTCATAAAACATACACACGAAAAATCTTAAAACAAAGCCAAAGTCTCACAAATAAAATAAACCAAAACAAAAAAGAAGCTTCCATTGTAATAGAAAATTTTAATGCATCTCCCGCATTCCAATGTAAACATGCCAACTCCCTGGATTACACATTTTATTTAAACAATTTACACTGCCTTTCAAATTCAAGCAGCAAAATAATGAATTCAAAGTAGTATATAAACTTGAAGCTTAGAGAGAATCCAAAGACAAACATTTCAAAGCGGCTCAAAATGCAACATAATGATCAAAATGGCGAGCAGAAGAAAGATGTAAATTTACATAACAGATATACTGGGGAACAATTACTGGCCAAAAATTTAGGGTTCCTGTGCTGCCCCTATCACTAACTAGTTAGATGACCTTTGACATAATACTTATGTCCAGACCTTTGTTCTTACAGTAACAGGGGGCTAGATGCTTGTTTTTGTATGCTGTATGCCGTCAAGCAAAGAATCATTTTTATATTTTTAAAGAGTTGTAAAAATAAACACAAAAGTTAAAAAACAAAGAATAATGTGCAACAGAAACCATATGGCCCACAGGCCTAAAATATTTACTCTCTGGTCTATAAGATGCCAAGTCTGAATCAAATGTTTCAACTAATAGCCTCAGGGGTTTAAGAGTGGAAGATGTATCAATTATTTGGGGAAAAGGGGGTGGATATGATTTACTTATCATATTCTGAGGTATTCAAACTTAACAAACAACCAGTCACTGAAAAATCTACCCTAAAAAATCCAATCACTGCCAATCAGAATTTAAGAAAAGGGTGCATTGAGAGGGTCTCTCAATCTCTGACCTAGAAATATTCAGGTATTGGTGTGGTTCCCATAAAGCAGGGATGCTCTCTAAATGTTTTCATAACTATAAAGGGCTATCAAGAAAACCAAGCAAACCCAGATTTACCTTATTCAACTTCTATTTCCTGTGCTACAATCATTTATGGTAAAGAATTGAGTAGTTTATTACTACTACATCAAATAATAGTTTTTATGTTTCTGGGACTCCTTATGTTCCCTAACATTAAGGGGCACCCCTCTCTGTAGTCCTCCAGAAGTTGGATCCTTTTTATACTCTTTCCATCAGGTCTTTAAACTTTTCAGCCTGGAAAGATGAAGCTGAAAGGAAAATCTGTAGTTCGATTCTAATTATCATCCTCTACACTAATTACTTCCAATTCAATCTTTCTAAAGATGCAGCAAAACAAGAGCCTTAGGCAATGTTTTGTAAATGAAAGTATCACTACTTGCTGAAAAGAAGAAAATTTTTGCCCTTTCTGGTATCCTTCCTACTACTGTTGGCCAATTCGAGGTCACTTTAATGATCTCTAGATCAAGATCATCCACTAAAGATTTTATAAGAAACTCGAGTTTGGTGTCAAATCCATCATAATCAATTACTTAAATGTAATCTAATTTTTCCCAACAATATGCAAATCCTTTTTGTAAACCGCTTATGGCTTCTTTAAGCTACTTTCTCTACCTCTTCAAAAATTAATGTCTAGATTATAAAATACAATACATTTTCACTGGAGAAAATGAGACAATACAGAAAAGTGAAAAAAAACAAGATCATCAACTAAAGACGAGCTCTGTTAGCATTTTGATTTATAGTCTGCCAGTTTAGGAGTATATATGTGTAAAGGTTTCTTATCTAAAATGAGGTTTATTTTATAATATTTTTTAAATTTAATATATTCATGCCTTAAGTTTTATGGTTATTTGGGATTTTGAAGGAGACAGAAAATATCAAAAGCAAAAGAAAAACTGACTCCAAACTCAGATGAGGCCATTTCTTTTTTCTTCCTTTTGTCCAACAAATACTGCTGTTTAATCAGCTGTGAAAATAGAATCAAGTGTGTGACATCTGGTGATTTTTGTTAATGCAGTCTGGTGCTGCCAGCGTGACATTTTGTCACCTGTCCATGGTCTGCTATTTTTAAATTGTTCTTGTCAGCTAGCTATCTTTTAAGTATAGTGTAAAATATAAGGTTTCGAAAACTGGAAGGCATACTTGGTTTTACTGAGTTAAATGATGCTGTGGAAATCTGAGACTGTGTCCCACTTTCCCCACTGCATAAGGCCTGATAAATGGGGGTGGGAGAGGAAGGGGGCAAGGTTGGAGAATAGGGTTACACACAGTTATTCAGACTGTAAAAATCAGAAGCTCAATTCATATTCATGTTTAAGACGCTAGTTATAAAAAAAACTGTCTCTACTGTTATTTAAAGTTTCAGAGTCAAACTAAACCTATACTTATATAAGTCAAAGTAAAAACTGGAATTTTTGTTAATTCGTAATTGATTATGAGAGTCACCTCTCACTTCTGCAATACCGTTAGGAGATAGGGAACAACTGCTGTATCTTTCTCTAATCATTGCCATATGTTCTAAAAAGTCAAGTCCTTTCGAGACCTTTATATAACAGAATGTGAGTGCTGTGTTCTAGAAAACGTAAGACAATGCACATTCTACTGGATTCTATTTCCTACCAATTTTCCCAATAAAGTTTTAGAGACAATGTCTCAAAAAAACTATCTATAAGATAAAATAATACATTAGGTAAGAATACAATAAAATGGTGCTTCAAATCCCTTTTAAGGGAAAATTATAAAAGTATGGTACTATACCATTTAAATATGTTTCAAAGAACCACAAAGCAAAAGAAATGAGGTTCAACCAGAGGTCAAATCCTAGTTTCTTTGCATACCAGCAGTGAATAATTTTTGGTATGTTATCAATTTCTTTGTGCCTACATTTCCTCATTTCAGGCTGTACTCTAGCACAATTAAAGCCAGAAATTTCCAGAGGTATATCCAGGATTAAGTACCCTTAATCTTTTTCTTACTCTCAGGTGATTATAGTGATATACTAAAAGGGTCACTGGACAAAATTAATGGGAGTTACCTACTTTAAAAAAAAATCACTCAACTTCTATGTATTGTCTTCCCTTTTGTGTAGAACAAAAACAATCACTTCTTGCTAACATAGAACCTGTGCCTTAACAGTTTCTGCAATCAGCTAACTTTTATACAAGACGGACTGATATGGGCCAAAGGGAGGTAATACAAAAACAGAACTGGAGCAGTAATTCAAGTAAATAAAGAGACCATATACTTTTCTGAATCAACTAAACGTAATGAAGGAGCACTTTTTCTAAAACAAGGTGACCTCAACATTTCAGAAATGGAGCCAATTTTCTGTAAGGCTGTGTAATGCTAAATGTTTCATCAGGCACTACCCCCAAATAGCCAGCCAAGCTTACTCCTCGGTCATAACATGCAGGCTAAATGGGATGCGAGGTAAAGCTTCATCATTGGTAGTAACTCAGGAGGGTACAGGGATGAACCTTTCCCTTACCTCTAATCCTAACTCTCTTGACGCCAGAAATCCCCCTAATTCTCATAGTCAGGAGAAGAGTTAGCATTCCCTATGTCCACTAGAAAAGAGGACAGAGGACAACTCTTCCTACTAAGGCCTCACTCATCCTTCCCCTGCCACTCCGATTCAAGAGAAAAGTTGAATAAAAGGATTTCTTACTGAAAACATTTATACAATGAAATATCACTGTGAACTTATTTTCCTCATGTTCACTTTATGTACATCATGAAGTACTTTCATTTTGCAGGAATGTAATATCCTACCTAATTATTTTTTTTACACTATTCAGATAAAAAATTTTGGAAAGCCAATAAAACTTAGGAGGATTGTTTTTCTTTCTCCCTTAGGTAGTTTTTTATAATGACAGAATGCTTATCCTTCAGTAATCACTACTTGTATCTATGGCAAAGTCACAATTTTGACAGCTTGCATTTGAAAGCCTTCAACATTTAGCTGCAGCCTAGCTGGAAGGAGTAAATACTGTGGGGACAAAAAGATTTACTTTATTACCTAGGTCAGGCAGAGGCACACCACTACCACTGCTGCGGTCTTTATCTCACCTTCACTTTATGAACTAGGTGCTTTATTTTAATGATGAAAACACTAAGGTTTTGAAGAGGCTAACTAGTCTATGGAGATCAATAGCCAACTAAAGGCAGAACCAGAATTCAAATCCAGGTTTGAATGACTGCAAAGTCAAAAAGGCTGAGTTGAAATTTCATACCCTATAGAGAGAATATAAAATGTCTGGAAAAATGTTAATAAAAATAATAATCTTTGTTATCTCTAGGTAGTAAGTTTCAGGTGTTTTTTCATTTTTCTTTTGTCTTTTTACATACCATTTGAATTTCTTACAATGAGAATGTATTTTTTTCCTAAAGAGAACTGAGATCCAGAGCAAAACACCAAAACAAATAAGCACACAAAAAACCAACTGACTCTCTAACTTGAATTTACAGACTCTCAAAATAGTCTTCAAGTAAAAGAGGATATTAACGGCAGAAGGAAGAAAAGGATAGATAAGGAGCAGTGTTTTTGGACAGACTCATACAGAAGACACATAATAGGTACCCTAGCCTATCACCTTTTTCTTAAAGCTTGATTCACCTAGATATTTCCATCTTTTGACCCAGAGACCCTCTCTATGAATTTACCTTTTAAAAAAGCTATGTGTAAGAACTCGTTCATGGCAGCATTACCTTTAATGGAGAAAAAGCTAGAAGCAACCTAAGAGTCCAAAGTTAAGGTCCATCAATAAATTATAATGGCCAGATAAAAATAGTGTTTATTATGCAGGGGGAAAAAAGATACACCATCACAATGTTTCTTTTATTTTTTAAATTATCTTTTTGTTATTATAATGTGCTCCATTTTTAGAGTAAAAAATTACTGAAAATCTTTCCCTTAAAATGCTGGCATCATGATTATGTTTTTAGAAGTAATAAGGATCAAACACATGGTGCTGTAACTATATGTAAAAGTCTCCCAATTGGAAAACGGAAGCAGGAAGTTCAAACACCATAACTAGGCGACAATAACAAGGTGAGGTAACTGACCAAGGGAAGTAGTTCATTCATAGGAAATCACTGTGAGTGGTATGAATTGTGAAGTTGTAACCATATTGAGACTGTAAAAATGTACATATTAAATGTGCTTCTTAGGTCACACTATATCTTAAAGTAGAATTCAAAAGCCTTTCATAGATGAAACCTCACATTTGCAAGTGTACTGGAGAAATTTATGCAGAGGTACCTGGACAGATAAGAAAAAAGGGCCCCAGGGTTGAGGCCGGGGGGAGGGAGGTTTAAGAGAGAGGGGATATATATATATAAATATATATATATGTATAGTATGACTGATTCACAATGATGTATGGCAGAAACCAACACAACACTGTAAAGCAATTACTCTTCAATTAAAAATTAAAAAAGGGGGGGGGCACCAAAAGTGGAATAAGGTATTTACCCTGTTCCACAGTACGGTACCCTCCACGCACTTTAGCAGTGCTACTCTCAACAGAGCATGACAGCTCCTGCTTAATCAATACTCACAAAAACTCTAGAAAATTATTTTATAGACCATAATCTAACATCTTTTCATAATCTTTTATTGCTAGAAGAATACAGACCAAGATAAGACAGACATGCATAAAGAACAAGGGCTGACTTCTTTAGAATAATAGCATGGGCTTACAGCTGTTCCTGGTAGAGAAGGACGACAAATGTAGCCTTAGAAGATACTAAAAACACAAAACAGTCTGTGAATATTATGTGGGTTTTTTTTTTTTAACACCATTCTCACTTCTAAGTGAAATTACCATGTACCTAATCTTTACTGAGGAAAGATGTGGTAACAGTGACTAAATATAACAATGACAAAAAGAGAGGCAGTTTTTTTCCTATTTCTGAAGGCCTTAAAATATAGCTTTTCTCAAAATCTTTTATTTTCTTCACAGCCTGTTAACTACTTTCTTTTCACTAGAAATTGAGGAAAGCAGCAGAAAATCATGAGTGTGACAAGAAAATGATGAAATAGATATTTGGTGTGGCGTGAGGAAATGACTGTCACGTTCCCAGCCAGTCATATCCTATATAAGAGCCTGCTGAGAACCAGAGGGGATCAGATTCCTCACAACTCTAGAGGACATAAGGGTTCACATAAGATGAGTGTCCCTGTGGCTAACTCTCCCAGTTTTCAGATAGTTAGGCTCTCAACATAAGTACAATGGCTATTTCCACAGAAAAATTCCATTTTAGTATTTTAAAATATCATAATGCCCCCAAGAACTCCTATAATCCATAACAAGAACTATCTGTAATCAAGAGTGTAATATCACCCCCTCTCCTGAATTGACATGGGCTCTAAAAATAGGAAATCCTAATATTGCTGACCTTGGGACTTTATGCCTTATATTTTACCCAAAACATTTTCCCCGTGTTTAGCCTTAAAGAATGCAAAGTGTCACTATCTGCTCTTAAAGACTGTGTAGTGATACTTCCTGCCCTAGGAAAGTGATTGTATTTTAATAAAACCCTTTTCTACAAAGTTTTCTGACTGAGCCTTTGGAGATTAAATCTCATACTTCCTTGCAGTAGACTTGGATTTAAATGAATTAATCCAGGTTCGGCCAAGGATTTCAAATACACAAAGCCCAGAAAACTTGGCTTCTGGTCTCATGCTATAAACCACGACCTCAGCTACCCAACACATGCTTCTGCCAGACATTATGATTAAAGCAGTCAACCGTGATTATGGTAGGTAGCTGAACCCAGGTTTAAAAAAAATCAACTTTAAATACATTCCACAATGCTTTACAGAAGCAAACAAAAAGAAACAAACAAAAAAAGAAAAACAAAACACAATTAATAAAAAGCTGATTTTTGTTTAAAACACCAAGCAAGGAATGGACATATGAATATTCCTAACCTGCAAAATGATTCCTCCACATTATATCAGCGAAACTCATTGGTGGGCCACTGGGAGGGTAGTGTTTACCTTTCAGAGGCTCATGATCAGTCCTTATCATATCCATTAAGGAGTTCTCCAACGAGTGCAAGTTAAAAGTGTCATAGGGCCGACTCCGGTCCTAAAAATAAAAACAAAATAATACATAAAATTACTTCATAAAATGAATAGCCATATCATTTGCTTCTTGCCATGGATTAATGACATGAATCAAAACTCCAGGTAGTTTTAATAATACACAGTCATTCTTTTCATTAAGAACAATGACTTGACAACATGAAGTTTAATATGTTTTCATAATTAATTAAATTGTACCCTTTTCCCTAATAATTCTTTAATGTATATGCCCCCACTACTTCAGACCAATTTTCTCTCAAATGAACTGAAAAAGTAAATTCAAGAGTCAAGTGAATTGACTTTGCCTTCTACCCTTCACAATTTGCCTCTACTATCAAATGAATATTCTATTCAAATGAATAGAAATTTTTTTCCCTAGAGAAAGACACTAAGAGCTCAGTCTACAAACAGAAACATTTCCCTGAAAAATCAAAAGAAGACTATAGTTTCAGTGTAATTAATTGAATTGGGCATCTTTAATAATTATTACTAAGTTCCATACATTGGGGCTTCCCTGGTGGCTCAGAGGTTAAAGCGTCTGCCTGGAATGCAGGAGACCCAGGTTCAATCCCTGAGTTGGGAAGATCCCCTGGAAAAGGAAATGGCAACCCACTTCAGTACTCTTGCCTGGAGAATCCCATGGAGGGAGGAGTCTGGTAGGCTACAGTCCATGGGGTCGCAAAGAGTCGGACACAACTGAGTGACTTCACTTTCCCTACATAGATATACTTTATAAAAATTAAAATGTGTCCAAAGTACTAAAACTACCTTTTGAAAAACAATGCATGAAAAAACCTTTAACCCAAGGTTGTGTGTTTTCATGATGTTAGAATCAACAACATTTTGAAAACAGAGAGCTAACACAAACTAAGTGAAGAAAAAACTGTTCTACTGTGTTTCATTTAAGCCCATGGGAGACCATCACCTACAAATTATTTTTAGTAGTATGAGCCTAAAAGGAAGTGTGGTTCATGGCCTAACTTAATACTATAGAACAGATTTAGTTTGCTTTTGTTAAAGAAAAGCAATACAGTCATAAACCTCAACAACCACACCAAATCAAACTACAGCAATGAGAGATTATTTTCAGGGTCCTGAAGAGTTTATCCAGCTTTGCAAATGATCACTTATCCTCCCCTTTGAGCAACAGAGTAACAAAATGACTGCCTAGACGAGCAAAAAGGGATACTCTAGGTAAAAACCTCAGCTACAGTCATCATTTTCCAGCTTAAGTCTTAAAATTTTGGGGAGCTGTTTCCTTCTGGTTTCTAGAAAGTGTGGCCATATACCTATCCATGGAAGTGGAAAGGAAGGTGGCATTTCCTCAGCACTGAGCATAAAGTGGGAACCCAGAGGGTAACTGAATGAATGAATGCAGTAAGATTGGCTGCAGGACTCAAGAAGAGCCCTAAACTGAGAACCAGAAGCAAAAGTGCTTGAACAACTACAATCAAAGAAGGGCTTCTGGACATCATTATCTACCTCTCCAGTCTGTGCTTGAAATTTCTTCCTTTATACAAATGAGGGGATTGAACTAGATTATTTATAACATCCCTTCCAATCCAATACTTGTTTTTAACTCACACATGAAGAAGGGCACAGATGTCTTTAAATTCACACATGAGGTAGAGGGCACAGATATTTTCAGATGCTACAGAGAGAAATTTCTTTCTCACAAACTAATGACAAGCTGAGGGCCAGACCCTGGTGATTCAGAGATGAATGTTATAACCTAGTCCCTGTTTGCAAGTAACTAGTAGAGGGAGACATAACCAGTTAAAATAAGAGTATGACAGGTGTTTTAACAAAGGAATGTAAACAGTACAATGAAAACTAAGTCACATCTATTTCTTAAAGAACATACAGGGGCTTCCCTAGCAGTCCAGTGGTTAAGACTCTGTGCTTACAATGCAGGAGAGATGGGTTCGATCCCTGGCCGGGAAACAGATCCCCCATGCCATGCAGTGCAGTCAAGAAAAAAAAAAAAAACAGACATATATTTGTGTGTGTATAATTCTTTTTCAAATCACATTCTATAAAATCGTGTCTTAAATCTGGACCTGTTATTTAACCAGCAATTAGGCTTGTCTTCATTTATTCTTGAAGTCTTCAGTATTCTCATTGGCAAAATGGGATCCTGGGAAGATTAGGGTGAAAGAAGTTAAGTATTCATTTTACTCACATTGTATCTGTCAAAGAGCTAGCACTCATCATTTCTTTGCCTTTTAATAATTTTATTTACCTATTCACTTTTGGCTGTGCTAGGTCTTTGCTGCTGCATGGGCTCTTCTCTAGTTGCACAGTCGCAGAGAGTGGGGGCTACTTTCTAGTTGCAGTGCATGGGCTTATTGTAGTGGCTTCTCTTGAGAAGGACGGACTCTAGGACACTCGGGCTTCAACAGCTGTGGCATGTGAGCTCAGTTAGTTGCAGCTCCCAGGCTCCAGAGTACAGGCTCAACAGTTGCAGTGTACGGGCTTGGTTTCTCCACCAAGAGGTAGATCTTAGTGGAGATCTTCCCAAATCAGGGATCAAACCACTGTCTTCTGCATTGACAAGCTGATTCTTTACCACTGAGCCACCAGGGAAGTCCAACATTTCTTTCTTTACTGCTGCCCTCCCACCCTTCTCTGCCTACACCCCATTTTTTTCCTTTTTAACACTCAGCAATTACTTGTGCACTCATGGATAAAAAAGAGTCATGAAATGCTTTCTTTGGTTCTCCACTTTGGTCCCTATATAATTTAAGAAGGTCCCTTCTTTTGCCTTTAGAATCTTGCTGCTGATTACTTGTTTTGCTTTGGGTTCAAGTTATCAGTGGAAACTCCAACTATTTATGGAGTAGAGCTTAATTTTCAGAAATGCAAGCTTATCTGTACCCAAAATAATAAGTATCATATTCTTTGCCCAAAGCAAGAAGTAAAAAAATACTGAGGAGTAGTCAAAAGGACAGACTATTTCTGGCACTGACAATCCCAGATTGTGTCTAAGAGCCTTCTATCATATGTATCCACACTTCTAACTAGAACCCTGCAGATGTGGGACTACTTCCAAAAAGGCTGATGAGGTGAAGGAACTATTTTTTTTAAATGGCTGTTTGAAGGCATTTTAGAATCTTTCCAGCCAGGACAGTGTATTTTTTTTTTTTTCATTTAATTCTTCATATGATCCTTCAAGGTAGATAACATTTATTTTACACAAGGAAGGTAAGGTTCAGATAAGATTCAAACCTGGATCTGAGCTCCAAACCAATACATAAGAAGTATAAAAACAGATCCAAAGAAGTTGATCTAAGCTATATGAGATGGTAAATGAAAGTTCTACAGAAGCATAGCATTGCATCTAATTACCAAGGAAATGACCTTCCTGGCAAGGCGGCAGTGAGTTTCTGTCAGAGGACTATCAGATATTAGATGACTGCCTGTCAGGAAAATTGCAGCAGACATTTGGAGAAGGATTCACATATCTAAAATTGTTCCCAACCTGTCATATGGTTAAAATCACATGTAGAATGGTTAAAATACAGGTTCCTAGGGTCTGGCTAAAAGCAACTTAATTATAATTTAAAAAGAAATGAATAGGACTTTGCTGGTGGGTACAGTGGATAAGAATCTGCCTGCCAATGCAGGGGACATAGGCTTGATCCCTGTTCCAGGAATATGCTACATGCCACAGAGCAACTAACCCCAAGCGCCATAACTACTGACCTTGCACTCCAGAGACTGTGAGCCATAACTACTGAGTTCAGTGTACAACTACTGAAGCCTGTGTGCCTAGAACCTGAGCTCCACAACAAGAGAAGCCATCACAATGAGAAGCCCAGGCACCACAACAAAGAATAGCCCCTGCTCGCCACAACCAGAGAAAGCCCGTGCACAGCAACGAAGACACAGAGCAATCAAAAATAAACAATTTTTTTTAAAAAGAAATTAAATGTCCTGGTTATTCTTATGACTGGCTAGATTTGAAAGCCACCAGACTGGATGACTCTTCAAGTTAAGACTTTATACCCGTGAGTCTGATCACTTAAATGGGACAGTAAAGTAAGGGGAGAGACTAGACAGCAGCAATAAACCAGCTGGGTCACTTTGACAAGAGTCAGCTTTGTAGTCTCCTAATTGATTGTGGGTGAGAGAAGCAGTTGGTGGCCTAGTTTTTAAAAGAACAGACTTTGAAATCAGACATCTGATTTTCAGATTCTGGCTCTGCCACTTGCTGGCATGTCATTCTGAACAAGTCTAACCCTTGATCATCTACACTTATAAAATGGCAGTGAAAAGAAATCTCTTTTTATGGCTGTTTTCAGTACTAGATGGCAAAGTACAACGAGGTATCTGTACCTTGTTGTACTAATACTGAAATCTGTACTAATATTGGAATATTAGTGCGCAACAGATGAAACAAGTGAAATGCACAGTGGAATCTGCATCAGCTTCTTAATTGAACAAATGTCAATAAGTGCTGAGGGACTTACTTTCTTACTAAAATTAATTCTGTCTATGCCTCATCAATTTATATTTACCTACGATTCACCCTTCTTAGTTTTATAAGTAGTAAATGTTGTTGAATTAACTGATTAACCAGGAACAAAAAAGATAGAAAAACTAAAAAATGTGAATTGAAATTCATCAGAAATTATGCACACAGAAAATCAGACCACAATTTATCATTTAACAACACAGGTGACAAATGGCAAATAATCACATAGTCTTTTTTCCCATTAGTTCTGTTTCCAGGTATAGGGAGTGACAAGTTGGGAAAACACCTTTTAAAGCTTGTTTTTAACAAGCAAACATATCAGGATGTATTAGTACATATATAAATAATGTTCCCCATTACTGACTCTTTTGTCCAGAGATAAGGAAGGACAGGTGTTATCAGTTAGATGTACACAGAGGCAGCCCACCCTCACTATACAGTTCATGAGGCCTGCTTTGCCTCTTCCCCTATCTTGACTTAATGTTAATACACTTACCAAGTACTTAATATGTGCCTGACACTGTTCT